ACTTAACTACTATAAAATAAGATATTTTCTGTGGTTGGCATCAAGCTGTAATGTAAATTTAGCTATGAACTAGTTTGATGTTTTTAAAAAAATTGTCAAATGTTACCTGTTCCTCGTATTTATGCCTTGTGTATTCAGAGATTATGGCTTGTTTTAAACATTTCTTTGAGCAAGTGTGTTTGTATATCATGTTATCTATGGAAATAAGCATTTCTTGAAATACAAAGACTTAGTAAATTTATAGATTTAAATCTAACTCATTATACCTCTAAAGTAAGACCAGTTTGGATTCTTGAACTAACAGTATTAGCCTGGCTTTTTAGTTTCATAGCTGTAGGAAATTGTGAGATAAACGAACATGCAGGCGGAGTGCTAATAAGCATTTCTTGGAAGTAGAGGATAAAAGAAATACGTAGCAAAGAATTCTAACATTCTAAACCCATTCTTACAGTTTGGAAACCTAATTCTTGTACTGTATCTTGTTTAACACATTGACTGCCACACTAGAAAAAAATTTATTTTCCCTTGGGGCCACAGTGTTGTATAGGTCAAGAGACATGTGAGTTCTGTCTGCTTCATGAGGCCCCAGGCTCAAAACTAGCATAAGTTAAATGCAACTTTTGAGAAAAGTTTTTTTGAGTTTCTGAAGCACTTTTAGTAGGTCCCAAGATGAAAGTAGTATTTCATCAGTTTTTCTCCAAAATTATTTTATTATTTTATCTCTAGAGTTGATCTGATAATACCTTTCACTGTTTAGTATCCTGAGTCCACTATGGGTTTTCAAGTCTGAAAATCAGAATTTAACACTGTGTGAAACATGTTCTTTGTCTTCACGTTCTTAGCCCACCTTGAGCCCTTCTCCAGACTGAGATAGGAAGCTTGTAGAAGGGACCTAGAGCAGACACTACAGCATCACTAAAACCTGCAGGCTTCTACTCAAGGCAACTTATTACTGCCTCCCATTTTCCTTGGTGCTGTCCTGCATTTGAGTGTTTCTGTAGTTACATATTAAAGCTGGACATAAGATTCCTCATGAATTTTTTTTATGTTCTATGTACTGTAACTATGGTTTTTTTCTTAGTCTCCTATTTGGTATTCAGTAACACTTCAAGAAAAAAAGTGCCTCTATAAGATCTTTCTGAAAAATCCTGCCCCATAGTATTTACCTTTTACTAGAAGACAGAAAATAAACCCCCAAAATCTCTACTTTACTATAAACAAAATTTTTTTTAAATAAAAAATCCTTACAAATTCCATTTTAGTGTTATATCCTTTGAAAGTTTTGATATATATGTAATTTATAGGTTATGAAACTTAAAAATAAAATGAACACTCATGAACCCACCACCCGGCTTAAGAAACAGAACATTAGCAATCCCAGTGAGGGGCCCTGTGTGTTCCTCACCTGTGGTTTCCCTGTTCTGCCCCCTACCAGCCTGTAACACCATGTCTATTATAGGTCATATTTCCAGACCTCATAAATACATTTTATCTGAAGTTCTCTTAAATGGCATTTAAGTTCCTGAAGTCCATTTTGTACATCTGTTGGGGTTTTTTCCTTTAATCTGTTAATGTGGTAAATTGCATGAACAGAATTCCTAATGTCAAGTGAGTGACCTTGTGTTTGTTTTGTAAACTCAGTTTTTTAAATGATTTTTATTGATTTTATACTGCCAAATTGCTTGTTGATAGAATTTTTAAGAAATTTGACTTTTTCGTCTCTTTCCCTGAGGTTGGCTAGTAGGTTTTCTTCTTGTGCTCTCCTTGTTTATTGATCATATTCTACTGCTTTTGCTCAGTTAGAAAATGTTTCTTCTTTTTCTCATTTTTAGAATAATTTCTTAAGACTAGAAAAGTTATTTCTTGAGTGTTTGGTAGACCTTGTCTATAAACCCCTCTGGGCTTGATGATTTTTATAATGTATAGAAATTGGTAATTTATCCATTAAAATTTGTCCATTTTACTTTTTTTAAATTTGCTGGATATAGTGTCTACAATATTGTTTCAGTTTTTCAAATATTATCTTTTACTATTTTTGCTTTGGGAGAGCTTAAAGCTTAATTCTTTTTCTAACTATATACGTTAAATCATTTGCTTATAAATTATCAGTGCTTCTGTTTTTTTCACAGAAATATTTAGAAATAATTTTTTAAGTGCCCTTTTAGTTGCACCCCACAGATGTTAGTAGATTCATGTTAAAATTCAGTGTATTTTCTAACTTCCCTTTGTGTTTTTCTTTGATCAATTCGTTATTTAGAAGAATTTTTAAATTTCAAACAGGATTTTTAAGGTTAATTTTGAAAATACAAAAGGATAATTATAGTATGGTTCATAAGAAAATGACATTCTTTAAACTTTTTTGAGATTTATTTTATGGCTTAGTAAGTGATCAGTTCTCATAAATGTTCCATGGGTATTTACTTAGAAAGAATCCATGTTTTCATGTGCTAGGTGGAGAGACATATATACGTTTAGATCAAGTTTGTTTTTTGGCTCGGTGCCTGTGGCTCAAGCGGCTAAGGTGCCAGCCACATACACCTAAGGTGGCAGGTTCGAATCCCCAGCCCGGGCCCACCAAACAACAATGATGGCTGCAACCAAAAAATGGCCGGGCGTTGTGGTGGGCGCCTGTGGTCCCAGCTACTTGGGAGGCTGAGGCAGGAGACTCGCTTGAGCCCAGGAGTTGGAGGTTGCTGTGAGCTGTGATGCCACAGCACTCTACCCAGGGGGACAGCTTGAGGCTCTGTCTCCAAAAAAAAAAAAAAAAAAGTTTGTTTTTTATGGAGTTCAGGTATTATTATGTGTGTATTTTTTTTTTTTTTTGCTTTTGTTGTATATTATTCAAGAGGAGTATTAAAGTTTATCACACTGTGGTAGTGATGTGTCCATTTTCCTTGCATTTCTTTTACTTTATTTGCATATACAGCAAAATATAAATTTTGAATTGTCATATTCTGAATTGAGCCATTTATCATTTTATCTCTTTTTCTAGTAATTGTTTTTTGTCTCTAAAATATGTTCTCTCTGCTGTTATAATAGGGACTTCATTTTTGGTAGTTTTTGCCTTATCTTTTTTATCCTTCAATTTCCTATTTCTTTATCTCTGTGAATTAGATATGTCTCTTATAAGCAGCCTTTAATTCAGCCTAAAAATCTGATTTTATTAAAAAAAATTTGATCCATTTATATTTATTGTAGTTACTGATCGTTTGTTCCCTCTTATTTTATGCTTTCTCTCATTTCTTTTTTTCTTCTCTTCTTTTGAATTGAATAAATTTATTTCCCATTCTATTATTTTTTTTTCTGGCTTGGTAGTTAATATTTATAGTAGATATCTTTGAATTTTAATATTCATGCCTAATCTACTTAATATCTATACCCTTCTCCTGAACAATGCAAGGATTTTAAAATCTATGCTCTTTTTATTTATGCTATTGTTAAAATTTTTAATTCCATTTATTTGTTTAGCAAATATAAATTAGTCACTGTTTTCATCAGTGAATATTTTCAGTATGTAGATTTATCGCTTGTTTACCAGTATTCTTGATGGTATCTTGGCCCTTCCATCAAGGAAAAATTATTCTTCCAAAGATACATGCTTGAGAAATTTCTATGGTAAGAATCTGTGGCTGGTAAACTCAGTTTTTGCTCATCTGAGAATGTTATTTTGATCCCATTCTTCATATTTTTGTTGGCTAACAGATTTTTGGATTGGTACTTAGTTTCCTTCAGTACTTTGAAGGTACTAGTGTACTTTCTTCAGCTTCCTTTGTGGCTATTAAGAATCTAAATGGTATTCTTTTGTAAGTAATCTATCTTTTCTTTCTGGCTGCTTTTTCTATCTTCTCTTTGTTTGTTTTCTAGAATTTGACTATATATACCCCCACATTAAACCCAGAATATGGCTTTTTCTCTTACTTTTATGCTTATAGTTGGGATATATTGTATTTTCCATCAATTCGGGAAACTTTTTATAGATTCACAGTGAAAACACATTCTCTTCTCTACCCAGAACCACTACGAAGACAGACAAAATTGTTTGCTGTTTGTAGAGAGTATAATTTTTTTAGAGTTCTTAGTAGAACTAAGAATTTTTTTCTTAGTTCACGTTTTTCCTGAGAGTGATGCCTTTGCTGGGTTTTAGCTTTAAGCAGAGATCTCTCCAGTGTTACTCCCACTGGCCTAGTCTAACTGCAGCAGGCAGTCAAAAGGAAAGCTCTAGGCCATTGGAGTGCAGTTGAAATCTCCAGGGACGGCTCAGTGGCTGTGGCTCAAGCAGCTAAGGCGCCAGCCACATACACCTAAGGTGGCGGGTTCGAATCCCCAGCCCGGGCCCGCCAAACAACTTAATAGAATAGAGGCAAAATTGGAATTAGAAATT